GAAGTCTTACACATTGACGACAATGGTAGTCGTCGTCCTAGATGAATCTTGAGACACTTCAGTAAAAACACATGCACGTTCACTGTGTTGGTAATGCTGTCATGTGACAACGTTTGTTTCCAACACGATAACTGACTTTTGTTTTCTTGTCTCCTTTTTGAAAATGGAGTAGTTTGCAGAGGACACCAATGGTTTACAATTACACTACGTGTTTTTAACAGAATTGGTGCAATCAAGAACCTGAGTGAATGTTCTGAAGGCAACCAGTGTGGGAAAATGTCCATTCCGATTCCTGGTCTTTCTGTGCACCAAGTAGATTCCACAGAAGTAGATCCTTTTGAATGTTGTGAGTATGGAGAAGCCTTCCTGGATCAATCCCTAGAGAACAATCGTAGTAGAGCTCACACTGGAAGCAGTACCTGTCAGTGTCCGCACTGTGGAAAAGACTGCAGGTGTCCTTCTCACCTGACCACTCCAGTGAGCACTCATGGTGGGAAAAATATTCATAAATGTAAGATAAGTGGAGATAGGCCGCATGAATATACGGAGTGTGGGAAAGCCTCTGGTGAGGCGACATTTCTCCCTGTACTTGTAGGAACTCACAGTGCACAGAGGCCATTTGAATGTGAAGAGTGTAGGAAATCCTTTAGGGATTCCTCACAGCAGAGTCGACATTTGCAAACTCACAGTGGAGACAGGCTCTATGAATGTAATCAATGTGAGAAAGAGTGTAGCTGCCCCTCAAGGCTCACGAGACATAAAACAGTCCATAGTGCAAAGAGGGCTTATGAATGTAAGGAGTGTGGGAAAGCCTTTAGAACAACTTCACAACTTACAACACATAGAGGAATTCACAGTGCGGAGAGGCCCTATGAATGTAAGGAGTGTGGGAAAGGCTTTGTAACACCCTCAAGACTCAGAACACATACAGTAATTCACAGTGGAGAGAGGCCCTATGAATGTAAAGAATGTGGAAAAGCCTTTAGAACAACCGCACATCTTACAGCACATAGAATAATCCACAGTGGAGAGAAGCCTTATGAATGTAAGGAGTGTGGGAAAACCTTTAGCAGAACCTCACACCTTAAAACACATGAAATAATACACAGTGCAGAGAGGCCCTATGAATGTAAGGAATGTGGGAAAGGCTTTCTAACACCCTCAAACCTCAGAAGACATACAATAATCCACAGTGGAGAGAGGCCCTATGAATGTAAAGAATGTGGAAAAGCCTTTGTCACAACCTCACATCTTACAGCACATAGAATAATCCACAGTGGAGAGAAGCCTTATGAATGTAAGGAGTGTGGGAAAACCTTTAAAAGCACCTCACACCTTAAAATACATAGAATAATCCACAGTGCAGAGAGGCCCTATGAATGTAAGGAGTGTGGGAAAGCGTTTAGAACAACTTCACACCTTAGAAGACATAGAAGAATCCACAGTGCAGAGAGCCTCTGTGAATGTAAGGAGTGTGGGAAAGCATTTAGAACAACTGGACACCTTAGAAGACATAGAAGAATCCACAGTGCAGACAGGCCCTATGAATGTAAGGAGTGTGGGAAAGCCTTTAGAAGAACTGCACACCTTAGAAGACATAGAAGAATCCACAGTGTAGAGAGGCCCTATGAATGTGTGGAGTGTTGCAAAGCCTTTAGTCAGGCCTCAAGCCTCATACAACATAGAAGAATCCACAGTGGAGAGAGGCCCTATGAATGTACAGAGTGTGGGAAAGCCTTTAGGACAACTGCACACCTTAGCAGACATAGAAGAATCCACAGTGGAGAGAAGCCCTATGAATGTACGGAGTGTGGGAAAGCCTTTAGAAGAACTGCACACCTTAGCAGACATAGAAGAATCCACAGTGGAGAGAAGCCCTGTGAATGTACGGAGTGTGGGAAAGCCTTTAGTCAGACCTCAAGCCTCACACAACATAGAAGAATCCACAGTGGAGAGAGGCCTTATTATTGGAAAGAATGTGGAAAAACCTTTGCTTGTGCCTCTTCCCTCAGTTTACATAAGCGAATTCAAAGTGGAGAGAGACCTTAAGAATGTAAGCAGTGTGGGAAAGCCTTTACAAGAGCCTCAGCCCTTACTGTACATAGAAGAATCCACAGTGGAGAGACCCTAAGACTATAAGGAATCAGGGGAAAGGGTTACGCATTTCTCAAGTTTCAGATCACATAGAAATCACAGTGGAGAAAGACCCTATGAAAGTAAGGAATGTGATGGTGGTGGTGGTTATGTGCTGTGGAGTCGGTTCCGACTTAAAGGGATCCTGTACAGGGTTTCCGAGGCTGGAAATCTTTATGGGAGCAGAAAGCCTCATCATGTGGGGAAATGTTAAATCATTGCTTAACCCTCCTTTCACATAAAGAGTACACAGTGGAGGGAAACCATGTGAATGTTAGGAGTGTGGGAAAGCCTTCAGGTTTGCCTCACAAGACAGTACACACAAGTGATTCCATAATGTAGAGAGGCCCTATGAATGAATGTCAGGAGTGTGAGAAAGCATTTATTCAGGCCTTGCACAGTTCTACTCTGACACCAAAAAAGGCATTGTGAGTGGGATCTACTTATGAAAAATCCTCCACTGAGAACCCTGTGAGCACAGTTCTACTCTGACACACATGAGGCACCATGAGTGGGATCTACTCATGAGAAACCATCCACTGAGAACCCTGTAGAGCACAGTTCTACTCTGACACAAAAAAAGGCACCGTGAGTGGGATCTACTTGTGAAAAATCATCCACTGAGATCCCTGTGAGCACAGTTCTACTCTGACACACATGGGGGCACCATGAGTGGGATCTACTTATGAAAAATCATCCACTGAGAACCCTGTGAGCACAGTTCTACTCTGACACACACGGGGCACCATGAGTGGGAATCTACATATGAAAAACTATCCACTGAAA